CGGCTCGTAGGCACCTTGGGTTTGTGAAGGGCGGGGTATAAATCCAATCTCCTCCTCCTCCTCCTCCTCCTCCTCCTCCTCCTCCTCTTCTTCTTCTTTCCCAGCTCCTTCACGGTTGCCCTTCCCAGTCTCAATTTTCTTCTGATTTCTCAGTTGCAGCCTCTGTTTTAGTCGATGGTGGAGCCAAAGAACAGGAAATTTTTTAAAATTTTGATTTCTAGATCACCAACCTTAAAGTTGTGTAGTTTCCCAGTAGTTATTATTTGTGTTTTCTTGATGTCCAGCTATAATCCTGCTTTGGTACTTTCTGCTTTGACCCTCAGCAGCAGTCCTTTCAAGTCTTCACTATATTTCTCCCAGTAATATGGTATCATCTGCATATCTCAAACTGTTAATGTTCCTTTCACTAGTTTTCACTCCACCTCATCTAGATCTAATCCAGTGTTCCTTGTGATATGTTCTGCATACAGATCGAACAGACAGGGAGATAAGATACGCATGAGGCACCTTTAGTCAGGCACCTTTTGCAATTAGAAACCATTCCATTTTTCCCTATTCTGTCCTAATAGTTCCCTCTGGAGGTGTGGGAAAAATCAGCATTTTTTAGTTCGAGTCTATTGGAATTGAAAAAAATTCGGTATTTCCAAAAATAAATCCTGAATCCCAATATTGGTATGGTTTTTGGATCTGGGATCCTTCAGAAATCTGGGATTTTTCAGATGGCTGGGAGGGCTTCTTCTGCGGCATGGTTTAAACCATGCTGCAGGAGAAGCTGTCCGCAGGATCTGTGCCCTGGCCAATCCTTGGCGGGTTCCTCTTGCCATTCGGTTTAAACCAAGTGGCAAGAGGAGACATCCAGTCCCAGACAAGGTGGCGTAGAGCTGTCAGCTCCATGCCATCTTGGCTGGGGCTGGCTCACAGTATAGCTGAATACACCCGAATAAAAGCCAGAAAAAATGACTTTTTTCAAGCTCTGCTATACCAGTAGCCAAGTACAGATCTCAGATCTGTATTCCACTTAAATAATACCTAAAAATGCCAATAAGGTATTTTTCAGGTACTTTTTCAGTTCAGTTTATACCCTCTTGTCCAGAGTACATGTTGCACTTCAAAACAATCAGATGTTGTGGCACACCCATCTCTTTTAAAACCAACCATAACTTTTCATGATCCACACAGTCAAAAGCTTTGCTGTAATCTAGGAAACACAAACTGATTTTCTTCTGTAATTCTCTCATGCACTCCGATAATCAACGTAAATTTGCACTATGATCTCTAGGGCCTCTTCCTTTTCTGACTCCAGCTTGAACATCTTTCATTTCTTGTTCCATATATGGTAACAGTCTTTGAACATCACTTTCCTTGAGTGAGAAATTAATGTGATGGTCCGATAGTTGCTGTGGTCTTTGATGTCTCCTTTTTTGGAACTGGAATGTAAATCGAGTGTTTCTAGTTTGTGGGCAATTGTTTTGTTTTTCATATTTGTTGGCATATTCTTGTTATGATTTTGATACTCTGTTTCTGTGGCTTCGAACAGCTCTACTGATATGCCATCTACTGCTGGTGTTCTCAGTACAGCTTTCACTTCACTTTCTAAAATTGTACATTCTTCTTCAAAAGTTTATTTGAAGGAATCTGTCTTCTCTCATCTCTTCTGTATAGTTTTTCAGTGTATTGTTCCCAGTGTATTAGTGTATTTCTATATTCATTTTTCAGCATGCCTAACTATACTTTGGAGAGGGAAGGCGGAATATTATAGCCTGAACTCGTCAAATCTTGGAAGCTCAGCAGGGCTGGTATTTGGAAGGAAACCCACCAAGGAAGACTCCGCAGAGGAAGGCAATGGCAAATCGCCTCTGATTCTCACTTGCCTTGAAGGCCCCTTGTGGGGGTTGCCATGAGCCAGCTGTGACTTGACAGCACTTTACTCACACACACACAACTGTACTTTAAATTTCCCTTTGATTTCTTGGATCTTGTGGAACAGATCTCTTGTTCTTCCTATTTTTGTTCTCTTCTATTTCTTTACACTGAGTATTATTATGGTTCTCTTTGTCTCTACGTGCAAGTTGCTGGAATGCTACATTTAGGTTTTCAATTCTATTTTTGTCATCTTTTACTTTTGCATCTCATCTATCTTTTGCAATTTAAAGAGTTTCATTAGTCATCCATTGAGGCTTTTCATTTCTTTTGGCTCCAGGAATAACCTTTGTGCAGTCTTCCTTGACAATATCTCTTGTTTCAGCTGATAGTTCTCCTGGTTCATGTTCACTTGATCTCAGGAATGCAAATTTTGTTCTTTACACTGTCTTTAAACTCTCCAGGAATGTTGTTCAGATTGTATTTTGGAACTATGACTGTTTTGGCGCTTTCCTTCAGCTTTATTCTCATTTTTATATTAACAGTTCATGATCCGCAAACGATCGGCTCCTGGTCTTGTTTTAGCAGAGAGATTCTCCACCTTCTGCCTCTGATTATGTAATCTATTTGATTTCTGTATTGGCCATCTGTTGCTGTCCACACATACAATCATCTGTTTAATGAACATATTGTTTAAAAATCATTTGTTGCACACCCACAGCTTACCTTCAGTCACACAGTGAAGATCCCTGCACGGTGGAGACAGCTGCTGCCAAAGCAACTTTTTAAATATCTGCATGCCGATCAAATCTGCAGTGGCCAGTCATAAACCCTGCTGGGCAAAAGCTCCACCTGGCCCTGCCGTCTTTCTAAAAACACCTGGTGGGCTCCAGAAAAGGTGTCTGTGGATATTATGGCACACAAGACACCACATTGGGGACACCTGCCCTGACACATGACTGACACAATTAAAATTTAACAGATCTGGTCACCTGTTTGGTGGAGTGGAGTTAATGAATCTGGCCTTTCCTATTCCCAAATTAGCGATCTGTGCTTTCAACCATCCAGATTGTGCGCATAAGAACACCCCGACCTCAGCAGCTTGTGCCTGAGCTACTACTGTGCTTGAGGACCTGTGGACTGCAGCCATTACTCTCCTGTAAAGTGCTTACCAAGAAAGTGGGATCATGTCCGTTTAAATACCGATACGCAGATCTCAAATGCAGAGAAATGAATCAAACATATCCCCGTGTAGTGTGGTCAAGATTTCTGGGGGCAGGGAGAGGAGTGGCAATTTTTAGATTCTGAGCTATAGTCCTTTTAATCAGAGCGTTATCTCCATGTTATTCGTTTTTTGTTGTGGAGAGCACTTATGTTAGTTGTTGTGGAGAGCACTTATGTTGTACTGAATGTTTTTAAAATGCAGTTTTAATGTTTTATGTATTGGGCATTGGCACCATCTGTACGCCACCCTGAGCCCATTCGCAGGGAGGGCGGGTTATACATTTAAATAAATAAATAAATTTAATCAATACTCTGAAACACAGCGAGTAGGAAGAGTTTGCATTTACGATGGAGACGGTCTTTAAAAGTTTGTTTGCTCTTTAAAATAGAATAATCTCGAGTGGCTTTGTCAGGTCCAAGAGGGAAACACTGATTGATTCATAATAAAAGAAACAGCTGATTCAAATTTAAGAATGGTAACACTATCTTTTGATACTGCTGGCTGTGCTTCTTGGAAATATCCTTTCAGCATGTGAGGAGATACCCTCCGTGGAATAGCCAGAAAATCAACTCACCCTTGGCAGTAACAAAATGCGGTCCAGCAACTTATGACAGGCATGGCTTTTAACGTCTGACAGCTAGATTCATTGTTGGTTTAATAGCCAATCGTCGGTTTTGACGACACACGTCTAATGTAGGTTGGAATATAAAAAGCCCTCTTGGAATATACAAGATTCACCCAGAGTGGTGAGTTGTCTCGGATTGCATTCGCCTTCTGAGATTCACGGTGCACTGAAAGATTACAAAAAAAGAAGAAGAAGTAGAACTAAACAACCGTAGAAAGGGAAGGAAAAGAACTGCACCGAATGTGAGGCCATGTTGAAACTAAAAATGTATCTTTATGTCTACCTTTTCATGTTAATCATACCTGGCCCAGCGGATCTTAACGAAAGCCACCAGGCAAATGAGAACATAGAGAAAGAGGGACTGTGTAATGCGTGCACGTGGAGGCAAAGTACGAAATCGTCCAGAATAGAGGCTATTAAAATCCAGATCCTCAGCAAACTGCGCCTGGAACAAGCGCCTAACATTAGCCGGGATGCTATAAGGCAACTTCTACCCAAAGCGCCTCCGCTCCAAGAACTGATAGATCAATATGACGTCCAGCGAGACGACAGCAGCGACGGTTCGTTGGAAGACGACGATTATCACGCTACCACTGAAACGATTATTACAATGCCCACGGAATGTAAGTACTTTTAATTCTCTTGTAATATTCTTGCCGACCCACACGGTGCTCAAGAGCCGCAGCCTCTTTTTAGTCTCTTCTGACAAACTGCTGGCTACTGCGAGCCTCAGGGAAGGAGAAAAGCATATTTTTAAAGAGTTTGATTTGTGTGACCCAGTGAGACATAACCTTTCTTTCCTCCCCAAAGAGTATGTTTTCCCTTTATGTACAAAGTAGAAGTAGTGTATGAAAAGCACTCCCATTGGCTTATCTTGTTGATTGCTGGAGACACATTAATAAGTTCCAAAATGAATGAATTTCAGTATTCTGATTATTTCTTGTAGCAATTAATGACTGGCAAATAAGCAGAAAAGACATATTTAGGTGTCAGTTTATATTAGCAAACTTTCAGAGAACATCAGGGACAGCTGAAAACAAACAAACAAACAAACAAAAAACCAATCCCCAAAAACCCCCAAAAGCAAAAAACCCTACTTATCTAGTAATATAATCCCATTAACTCAAATGTGCCGCCACCCCCCTCATATATGTGTGTCCAATGCTCCCTCTAAGCTGTGGAGTCTTGTGAGCAAAAATTGTACTTTGTGGGCTACTGGCATTAAAGTTGTGAGCGAGCGATTTGGCTACTGCATAAATTACTTTGCTGTGGAGCCATCCTTCCTGAGCTAAGACAAAAAAATGTGTGAGACTAAAAGACGGTGCGCTAGCTCACACTGACTCAGCTTAGAGGGAACACTGTGTGTGTCCGTGTCCATTAAACCTATGTCGTATGATGCAAAAAGTACTCTGCCTTCCACTTTCACACACTTTGTTGCTTTTATTTTCAACGGACACTTCCCGCTAATCTGCTCTGCCTTCCACTTTCACACACTATTTTCAACGGACACTTCCCGCTAATCTGCTGGGATCATTTTTTAAGATCGGAACAATGCCCCTTACACCTTTTACTATGTCGTTCCAGCTAACCAGGGAGCACATATATTAAACATGGAAAGAGCACGAAGCCAAATAAACAGCTATGTTATGTGGTGACACCAGTGAGGGCCAACAGACTTTCATTGCTCTCAAACCGAAGCGCCAATCCAGCTTTGGTTGCTCCCAAATACGCTGCACATTCGGAAACACTGTGCCTATCGAAATGCACATTGAAGCACGCGTATCATGCGTGGCTGGATAATAGCTTCGCTTCGACACCTATTCCAAAGTTTATCTGGGTCGACGCTTCCGAGTTTGCCGTGCTGTGCTGCGGTGGTTCCTGTCACTGCAAGGTGGCAATACTGGGGACTTTTGTCCAGTTGCCAAGGAAGGCAGCAGAGCCAATGGCTTCACACCCTCTGGAACACTCCTGCAAAAACTGCTGAACACAGTGACTGCTTTTGCAGGGATGCAAAAAGCTTATGATTCTCAGCCCCTCGCTCCATTCAGCTACAGAGCACATGCGCTTTCTCCCCGTCTCATAAGTAATGAGTGCAACCTGTATCGTTTAAATGAACCTCTTATAAAACCACCATGCCTATTACTTAGTCAATGCCAACGGTGAAATATTTTGTGCATTATAATGTGCGTACCTCTACCGACTCTATTAGTTGTGTTAAGAAGGAATAAAGGTATTCACTGAATGAGCAGATTCTTCGTTTATCTTCTTGGTGGCCGGCATCTGCTATAGCTCCTATCAAGTATCTTTCGCGCAGCTTATATTATAGTATCTTATGTTCTTCATTAGCTGAAGTATTTGGCTATGGCAGCTGCTTTCGGAATAACACTTAAGGCAGCGGGGAAATAATGTAAAAGGGAAATTTGGACACACATGACTTAGATTTCTTATCAGCAGCAGTGATATACAATACTCGGGCTTAATTTGGTGTAATGCTCTCTGCTATTTTACCTAATAATAAACTCAACATTCAGACATGTAAGACTGACTACAGCTATTCAGATTCAGTGACATGGCTATTTTAAAAGTTTCATGACAAGGAGTTTTAAAGAGAAGGATAATTATGCTCTAAACTATTACTTAAGGGGGGAAATTAGATACTGCTTACAGGAGAAATAAACACTCCGAGATTTCTTCTCATTTATTTCACGCTTTACAAAAAGTTCGGTTTTAGACAAAATCGTCTAGGACACTGGAGACGTAGCCGACTTAGATTTGTGCTCCTGAACAGTTCTAACCAGAAGAACAAAGTTGGAGTCCAGTGGCATCTTTAAGACCGACAAAGCTTAATTCTGTATATAAGCTTTCACGTGCATGCACACTTCACTGTATCCGAAGAAGTGCGCATGCACACAAAAGTGCATACTCAGAATAAAACTTTGTTGGTCTTCATGGTGCCGCTGGACTCCAAGAGCCAGTTTGGTGTAGTGGTTAAGTGCGTGGACTCTAATCTGGGAGAACCGGGTTTGATTCCCCACTCCTCCACTTGCACCTGGCTGGATGACCTTGGGCAAGCCGTAGGTGTTGTGGGGAGGGGAAGGGAAAGGATTTTGTAAGCCGCTCTGAGACTCCTTTGGGTAGTGAAGGGCGAGGTATAAATCCAATCTCCTCCCCCTCCTCCTCTTCTTCCTCTTCCTCTTCTTCTTCTTCCTCTTGTTCCTCTTCTTCTTCTTGTTGTTCCTCTTCTTATTATTCCTCTTCCTCTTCTTCTTCTTCCTCTTCTTCCTCTTCTTCCTCTTCTTCTGCTTCAGACCAACACGGCTACCCACTCCTATGCAGAGCTTATTTATTTATTAGTTCAATTCATACCCCGTCCTTCCCGCCAAAGCAGACTCAGGACAGCTTACAAAAGGATAAAACATAAGTAAACAATTGTAAACACCGATAAAACCAATTTAAAACAATCCAAAGTCATAAAGTGCTAGCTAGATATATATTAATACTTAGAGATGGTGGTAAAATTCATATTAATATGTTCTATGATCTGTTGTGCTCCTCAGCTCCTTGGCCACTATATATATATATGCAGCAGGCGCTGGCTGCAAAGGATGCAGCCAGGGAGCAGGGCTCTATCATTCTCATTCACTGTAGTTAATAATGTCGGTGGCGGCGGCCCCTTAACCAAAGGCCTTCTAAATCCATTGACTTCAACGGACTGATTTATTTATTCATTTATTCCCCCTGGGGACTCCAAGCGGATTACACAGAGTGAGTCGAGACAATGAACAAAGTGAGACACTCAATAAACACTGAAATGGGATTTTGGGTTGTAGAACCAACCGGAAGTCTAAGAAACAGAACTGAAGCAAAGCCTTAGTGTTAACGTGACACATTAAATGATGCAAAACTACACAACGGGATCCAGCCCACAGCAAACTATACACACTACTACGGACCATGGTTCCCAATAAGTTATCCAAACAACTTTGTGAAGCCTTTAGTACAGGGCTACCCTATTGCTTGCGTAGAAAAGCCCTCTTGAATGATTCAAATTTTGCATCGGTTGCTCAAAGACAGGAGTGTAGGAGCCTTCCTGACTTCCTCAGGCCATTCCACAAGGCGGGGGCCACAACCGAGAAGGCCACGTGCATGGGCAGCTGTTGATTTTGCCCACTTGCAGGTTGGCAACTGCAGAAGGCTCTGCTTGGATGAGCAAAGCTGTCATGGTGGACGTTGGAGGAGAGACAGACTCCCAGAGCCTCAAAGCCCAGAAAGGGCTTTGTATGTGATAGCCAATACTTTAAATTGAGCCGGGGAACTGATGGGCAACCAGTGGGGTGACTGTAGAATGGGAATCATGCGCAATCTAGCGCCTGATAATAGCCGAGCTGTGGCATTCTGCACCAAATGGAGTTTCCAAACTGACTCTGAGGGGAGACCAACGTACAGTGCATTACAGTAGTCTAGTCTGATTTAGAAGAGCTTAACTCTGCTTACGATTGCTGTTCCATGTCTTGTAATGTATGGTGGAGCTGCCAAATTAAAAACCAGAAGTATTACAGTTGTTTAAAATAACAATGTTGATCTTATTAATATGAAGCTATTAACAGAACGTTTATCACCTGTCAAAGGAAAGCAACTTGCAATGCTATCGTAATTAGAGTTACACACTTCTCAGACCACTGGCTTCAAGGGAGCTTCAAGGGAGCCAGTTTGGTGTAGTGGTTAAGGGAAGGGGATTGTAAGCTGCTCTGAGACCCAAGTGAAGGGCGGGGTATAAATCCAATCTCCTTCTCCTCCTCTTCTTGGTGTAGTGGTTAAGTGCACGGACTCTAATCTGGGAGAACCGGGTTTGATTCCCAACTCCTTCACATGCAGCCAGCTGGGTGACCTTTGGTCAGTCCCAGTTCTCACACAGATCTCAGCCCCTCCTACCTCACAGGGTGCCTGTTGTGGGGAGAGGAAGGGAAGGGGATTGTAAGCCGCTCTGAGACCCAAGTGAAGGGCGGGGTATAAATCCAATCTCCTTCTCCTCCTCTTCTTGGTGTAGTGGTTAAGTGCACGGACTCTAATCTGGGAGAACCGGGTTTGATTCCCCACTCCTTCACATGCAGCCACAGGGAGTCTGTTGTGGGGAGGGGAAGGGAAAGGAGATCGTAAGCCACTCTGAGACTCCTTTGGGTAGTGAAGGGCGGGGAATAAATCCAATCTCCTCCTCCTCCTCCTCCTCCTCCTCCTCCTCCACTTCTTCTTGTTCTTACCATATCCTCACTTCCAATTATCTGTTAGTTCTAATTACAAAACTTAAATGTATGACTTGCATTCTTGGTGGTTTTATAAAGCAATTTTAGGAGTTCAGTGCTAGTGGTAAGATGTTAGAAGTCACAGTCATTTTCAAGTTTGAGTACACTGTCCAGGGTGTTCAGTTTCCTAGACGATTTTGACTAGGGAAAGTCTAGGGAAGAGATGCCCAGCACATATTCCTCTCCAATCTTCCCCTTTCTGATGGTCCATATAATTTTTTCCTCATGTACTTTATAGCAGAAATCAATATAACCTTCGGATACCGTAAGCTGCAGCCATGAAAAACTTAATTCAAACACAGAAATACAGAAAAATCATAGAGTTGAAGTCATCGACACTTTTTAACTTCCACGGCAGCTCTCAAAGTACCTCAGTGATTCCCATTAGATTCCAGAGGATTTCAGCAGATCAGGTGGTCTTTTGGCCACTGCAGTCTAAAACACTCAAAGACTTTGAAGCACGTCTTTTTTTAAAAAAAATATTCCACTCTGTATTCCACCTCCTCTCACCTTCCCGCTTGTTCCCGTAGATTCATTTCTCGATGGTTTTCCTTTTCTAAGTAGGAAGTTTTTGGGTGGCGCTGTTGTGTATTATTAATGCCATTTATTTATTTATTTATTATAATTTTTACCCCGCCCTCCCTGCAAGCGGGCTCAGGGCGGCTTACAAGAGGGCAACAATGCCCACATATAAAACAAGATTAAAACAGAATAAAATCATCAAATCACAAAAGTAAGGTGCTCACTAAAGAACAAGATGGTTTTCCAATGGTAGATGCCGGATCTTTCATTGGAGGTAGATAGTGTCCTGTAGCTGGTACGCGGCCAGTCCAGTGGCACCCACCCAGCGCGGTATCATGGCAGATCTTCAAGGGCCGTCCTCTTACCCAGTTGTTACCCACGTCGTTGGTGGTGGTGGTAGTGGCGGCTCCTACGTAAAAGCCTGGCGGAAGAGCTCTGTCTTGCAGGCCCTGCGGAACTGTATGAGGTCCCGCAGGGCCCTGATCTCCTCCGGGAGCTCATTCCACCAGGTAGGTGGTTTGGGGATTCTGCCCATAAAATGGGACACCGAGATTTCAGAACAAGCAAACAAATGACATACAGCCACCACCACCCAACACGAGCTACGAGGCTGAGTCCCCGACGATGCGGGGAGGCCAGACCGAGGTTGGCAGCAGCCAGCACCCCCTGCCCAAGTACCACCTGCCCAGGTACTGCCAGGCCAGACTCCTCCGGCCACTTCTCTTGTAGAGGGATATTTTTACATTCTTAACTTGCCCAATTCCAGACCAGCAAGCTTTAAACAGAGTATGGCATACATTTGTATGTGCCAAGATCAGAAGACTGGGTGCACTGCAGACTGAACCTCATGGGACAATCCAGAGATTTCTGCTCGTTCCTCTTTACTGGATGTGGCTTTTCCTCCCTCTTACACAGGAAGCTTCTATACTTCTATACGTGTGTTACACACAAATTAGGCTGGTCATATAGAGTCACCTATCAAGAGCCAGGGGCCGGGGGAGAAGTACAGTTATGATTAAGAACAGACTGCATACAGGTTAAAAGGGGACAACATGTGGCACAGAGTTACAGATGTAAGAGGAAGGCCTTCAAAATGTAGACGCACTTTATGTACGGTCCATCTAGATCAGGAAGAATGTCTCCATTGCCAATAACGTTGCTGATAAAATGAACAAATGTTGTTTTGTGTCCCTGTACCCAGTCCTGATAGAGAGAGCCAGTGGTTAAAAAGTGCGGACTATAATCTGGGTGAACTGGGTTTGAGTTCACACTCCTCAACATGCAGCTGCTGGTGTGACCTTGGGTCAGTCATGGCTCTTTCAGAGCTATTCTGTCAAGTGCAGTTTTCAGAAGAGCTCTCTCAGCCCCACCTACCTCACAGGGTGTCTGTTGTGGGGATGGGAAGGGAAAGGAGATTGTAAGCCACTCTGAGAATCCTTCGGGCAGTGAAGGGTAGGGTATAAATCCAGTCTCTTCTTCTTCTGATAAAGGTATCGTGTAGACTGTGGTTTGCTGATAAAACGGCCTGTGAAGATGTTTAAAAATGCCATGCATTTTTATGCTTTATTCTGAAGTGTCTCTTAGCATTTCCCGATGAGTAATGTCTTCTTTCCATTCATTTATAGCTGACTTTCCTATGCCAGTGGAAGGAAAACCCAAATGTTGCTTTTTTAAGTTTAGCTCTAAAATACAGTATAACAAAGTAGTGAAGGCTCAGCTGTGGATATACTTAAGACAAGTCCAGAGGCCCACGACAGTGTTTGTGCAGATCTTGAGACTCATCCGACCTATGAAAGATGGGACAACTTCTACTGCAATTCGATCTTTAAAACTTGATATGAACCCGGGCACCGGCATTTGGCAGAGTATCGATGTGAAGACCGTGTTGCAAAATTGGCTCAAACAACCTGAATCCAACTTGGGCATTGAAATCAAAGCTTTGGATGAAAAGGGACGAGATCTTGCAGTAACTTACCCAGGACCGGGGGAAGAGGGCTTGGTAAGTTCTACTGGGAAACCTACAAGAACTGTCTTTCCATTGAGCACTTGAAAAGGATGTTTTTTCACATGGATAAGACAAGGATTTTCCAAGGTTGAAGTCATGTTTAATTATCAGTAAACTTAATGGGGTGGATCCTACCCTTATCCTACTACTCCACTGAGCCAAGTTCATTTATTTATGCATTTATTAATTAAAATATCTACCACCTTTCCTTTTGTTTCAAGTTTGAAGTCTGTCTCCAATCTAAGGAGATTTCTAGGGATGGGCACGAACTGGGATGAACTTTGTGGATCTTCCCTCTCTCCTTTCTGCTGGTACAGGCTCGCTGAGGCCAGCAGAGTGGGAGGGAGGGAGATCTTTCAAAACCCATTTAAAGGAATGCTTGGAAGCTGGGGGGGGGGGAATGAGAGAGATCACTGAAATGGCTTGCATCTATAGATCCTTGCCATTTCAGTGATCCCTCTTGCTCCCCCCTGCTTCTCACTATAAACCACAAACCCCATGAACCTCAAAAACCACATTGATGGTCCTGGGAGGTTTGTATAGGGATGGGCACGAACCGAGGCTTGCGAATCATGGTCCTGGGAGGTTCATATAGGAATGGGCATGAACCAAGGCTTGCAAACCACAAATTGGGCCTAGTTTGTGCCCATCCCTAGAGACGTCCTCTGACTTAAGTGTCTTTTCCATTGGAGGACGAGCCACTAAAGTTGGGGGAAGAACTCCTTAGACTGGAAGAAGGCTCCTCGGAGGATGGTTGGATCCACTCCAATGAGCTTTCCTTTTGAACAAAAATTATTTAGGGATTGGAATGCTAAAGCTCTGGCAAATTAATGGAGAGAGAGTTTATTCCTCAGTTCTCTGACAGGCTAAATGGATTCCTTGCAAAGCACCAGCAGAAGTTATTGGCCAACACAAAACTTTCTGATTTCCCCTAGTTGCCCTGGACCCTTCCCCATGCTGATCCTGATGGTTGTAGAACTCTTCTGTACAACAACCCACATAGCACAGAAGATTGCACTTAGGAGAGAGAACCAGGCAAAATTGTACCCACCTCACCCTTGAGCCAATGGAGGAATTATTGGTTCAAAAAGGAAAATAGAGGTGATTTTGACTGGTACTCCTTCTTCAGTGCAGTCTTCTGACAGATGTGACTTTTTCTCCATGCATGTCCTCCAGCCTCCAGCATCAGCTTTTCAGAGGTCTCAGGAGGTTGCTAAGGGAAGGGGAGGAGTAGGAAAAAATCCACATTTCTTTTCCAGTTTTCAAAACCGTTATTTAGATAACAGGGGAATTACAATTGGTACAACACTTAAGCAAAATGCTACTACACATATGCAAAATGTTACTACTACATAAGATATTATAGCAAACATTTCAAAACATATATACAAATATCAGTTACAATAGTTTCTCTAGTGTAAGATAATAAGCTTAAGGTGAGGTATAAAGGTATGGGGAATATTAAGTGCCATGTTTATGATCTGAAATGGTGAGTTTTTTAAGGCGAAGAGGTGCACAAATCTCTAGATCAATTCAGAGAAGAAAAGGAGATAATTAAAAGAAGAGTAAGAGAAAATGATAGATATGTTAAAAGAATAGTAGTTGATGACAGGACTGGTTTGGAGGATCAAGTTCTTGAGTGATGAATGGAAGCCATTTTTCAGTGAAGTTGGTTTGCCTTGGGTAGATGTCTGTTTGTAGTAGGCGATCAGTAATTTTCTCCATTAGTAAATGATCCCAGATCTCAGACCATTCTAACAAAGAGGGTAATGTTCGTAGTTTCCGCATCTTTGAGCACCCTTGTAGTTTATTGGAACTAGCCCATTGCATTTTTCTTTCTGTTAAATGGAGATGGATAATACGTAATCATGTGTGTTAAAGCAATTAACCGGAAGCAATATGGAAGGGCTTACTAGTGAGCAAAGTATTATAACCTTGAAATCTAATCAATTAAAAATGTTTCAGAGTAATGGTTTTCCATCTCTGTATAACTCAGGTACAGTAGGAAAATCGCTTCTTATAGTTATCCAAATGCTACAGAGTCGCTCGGACTTTAGAATAAATATGCACTGTAGCACACTGAACAACAGGCAATCCCCACAACTTATTTCAGGATCCTGAGAAACTGTAGCTTGCATCTCTTCTGGGGAAGGAGCAGCTGTAACTGCATGTTATAAAGAAGGGATGTGGCTTTGTCAAAGCCAATGGTATGTAGAGGATTAAGTTACCCACTAGCAATACCCAAATGTGCTCTTAAACTGTCCTCTTCCAGGAAACAGAATCATGTTAACTTATTAAGCCTAGCCTTGGATGGTTTGTGAGAAGTCAGAGAGGTAAAATGGCAATACATAGTACTATGAACAGCCTTGATTTAGTAGGCATTTTTCCGCCAGTTTGACAGCGGGTCTCAGCAGAAACAGCATATTCTAGTTTGTCTTCCACTCGCTTAAGATGTGATCCGTGTCAAAGTTCACAAGTCATGCTAGACATTTTGCCTGTGGAAAAAAACTAGTGAGTACTCAAAGCAAAAACGGAACATTGGTCTTTGAACCTCAGTTTTCCCTTTAGTGTATTTCCGCTTTCTTTTGAATTTTGTGATTTTGTTATCTTGTTCCTTTCTGTACCTATAGACTGTGAGAAATTTCAGGGCCTTTGCGTAATGTTCAGGTCTTCAGAGTCAGGATGAAAAAAAAAACCCAGTTAGGAATCAGATCCAGTGAGCTTTCTTGGGGTGTTTTGTGTATGCCTGGCTGAATTTTGTTCTTTGAACAGCATGCTGTATCACACATATGCCCCACACTTTTAAGAGTGGTTGTCCTGTGGCCGGGGCATTCAAGATGCACAGCACACAAAGTGCATGGAAGTAATTGCTATTCTCACAAAATGCTTTCAGGAATAATAGGCAGGGCTATTTTTGGGCAGGAACGCACAGGAACAGAGTTCCGGCTGGCTCCCAAGTTGGCCACGCCCAGCAGGAACTCATTAGCATAATAGGCCACCCCCAACAGCAGGAACTCATTAGGATTGGCTACATTAGGGGTGTGTGGCCTAACATGCAAAGAAGTTCCTGCTACAAAAAAAGGCCCTGGGTTTTGACAACAAACAAGGTCAACAGAATAAGAAGCAAAAGGTGGGTGTGGCTGGATGAGCACACGTCTGGTAACATGGGGGTGCAGCCTAATGTGCGAATGAGCTGTGCTGTCAGGGGTGTGGCCTAAAATGCTAATGAGTTTCTGCTGTTGGGTGTGGCCTATTATGCTAATTAGTTCCTGCTGGGCTTTTTCTACAAAAAGAGCCCTGAAATAGGATATTTAAAAACTACGGCTTAAACGTTCAGAATGACTTATCAACACAGGTTGACCTTTAACGTTTTTGCTTGCTTGTTTGTCTGTTTCGGCATCGAGTCACAACGGACTTATGGTGACCCCTGGTGGGGTTTTCAAGGCAAGAGACGGTGTGAGGTGGTTTGCCATTGCCTGCCTCTGTGTGGCAACCCTGGACTCCCTGGGTGGTCTCCTGCTAGGGTTGCCAGCCCCCAGGTCTGGGTGGGGGTCCCCCTGCGTCTGGGGGCTTCAATCCACCCCCGGCCAGCTGGCCACTGGGAGAAGCCCCGCCCCCAAGCCCCACCCCATGTGCAACCACCCGCCTGGGCACCCCTTTCCCCCCTCCTGCCCGATTTAAAGGGCTTCGGCTGATCGGTGGGGACCATGTGCCCCAATGACCGGCTGGAGGGCCCTTTAAATCTAGCTGGAGGGAGGGAGAGGGGCAGTCATCACAGGCCGCACACTCAGCCCACACAAATAGAATGATCCTTTTGCGAGCAGGCTGAGGGCGGCGGCACACGGGGCTGGGGAAAATAGGGCAGGAGGGGAGGGAGAGGGGTGGCCAGGTGGGTGGTCACTCTTGGGGTGGGGCTTGGGATGGGACTTGGGGGTATCCCTGCCGCCACTGAACGCCCCCCAAATCCACTCACCGGAGTGACAAGGGGACCTGGAAACCATATCTCCCATCCAAGGTTCCCTCTAAGCTGTGGAGTCTTGTGAACAAAAATTCTACTTTGTGAGCTACTGGCATTAAAGTTGTGAGTGAGTGGTTTGGCTGCTGCATAAATTAGTTTGCTCTGGAGCCATCCTTCCTGAGCCAAGACAAAAATGTGTGAGCTGCAGGCTAAAAAACTGTGAGCTGTCTCACACTAGCTCAGCTTAGAGGGAACACTGCTCCCATCCAAATTTCATACAGGGCTGACCCTGCTTAGCTTCTGAGATCTGACAAGCCCGGGCTAGCCTTGAGCCATCCAGGTGAGGGCTTAAAGGTATTATTGGAATCGGGGGTCATTTCCTGCAGGAGCGCACAGGAGCGGAGCTCCGGCAGTAAAGAGCCCAGGGGGCGGGCACTTGCAACAAGCCCCCCCCTGAACCCCCCCCCAAATAGCCAGCAATCCAAAACAGTCCAGTGGAGCCTGAGCGGTGGGTGTTGTCTTCTGACACACTTCCGGTGATGTCAGGGGGTGTGGCACATGCAAATGAGTTATGCTAATGAGCGCCTGCACCTCTTTTTCTGCGAAATGACCCCTGATTGGAATAAATGTTAACATACTGGGTTGAGTCTTACACTCTGTTCAGCTGAGTGCAGAGCCTTTTTCAAGTCCAAGGAACCAGAGGAAGAGCTTCCTCCACCAGATGAAGCTCTGCACTTAAGACAGTGGAGGGGCAGAATAATAGAGTCCAGTGCAATATAATGGGGGTACATCACAGAGTTGCCAGCCTCCAGGTGGGAGCTGGAGATCTCCCAGAATTACAACTGGTCTCCAGATGTCACAGAGATCAGTTCTCCTGGAGAAAATGACTGCTTTGGAAGGTAGGCGCTATGGTATTTTGTCCTGCTGAGTTCCCTTCACAGGCACCAACACCAAATGTACAGGAATTTCCCAACCTGGAGTTGGCAACTCTAGTACATCATCATTATAGTGCTCAAAACGTTGCCTGATGTTTTCAGAAAATATGTATTGGGTGTGTCTGATGTTGAGTGCGTCTGCCTTCATACATGCTGTTCCTTTTCCCCTTTATCCATAGAATCCATTTCTAGAGGTCAGGATTACAGACACACCGAAAAGATCTCGTAGAGATTTTGGTCTTGACTGCGATGAACACTCAACAGAATCTCGATGTTGTCGCTATCCGCTGACGGTGGATTTTGAAGCTTTTGGATGGGACTGGATAATTGCTCCCAAGAGATACAAGGCGAACTACTGCTCTGGGGAATGTGAATTCGTATTTTTGCAGAAATACCCGCACACTCATCTTGTCCACCAAGCGAATCCGAGGGGCTCAGCAGGCCCTTGCTGCACTCCTACTAAGATGTCCCCAATTAATATGCTTTATTTCAATGGAAAAGAACAAATAATATATGGAAAGATCCCTGCCATGGTCGTGGACCGTTGTGGCTGCTCCTGAGTTCCTCAGTAGGTTTGCTACGTCATAAAAATGTGGAATCTACCAAAAGTACCCTTCAGCAATCTTTTGAAACTGTGAATTTTGTACTATAGGCCTACCTCTAGTAGGCTATACGATAGGCTGTTAGAAAATTTCCTGCAAGACAAGCTACAGTATGTGAACTGAAAGACATTTGTGTACGCAAGAGCTGGTTTTAGCCAGTGAAAACGATAAGCTACAATCAATCTCACAGGATTTCACAATGAATTTCTTTTTCTGGAAAGGGATATGTTTTCATTTATGCAACAACGTAGTCAGATAACAGTTTCAGCAGATAGGAATAGATGAAAAGCAACTCCGTGTATTCCAGATAATGAAAAGGAGTGAGCTATAAGATGTAGTCTAAACAGGTTTAGTTTACTGTTGTATTTGCATTGGAGGATACATCGGTGATGTGTCAAGTATCACCGAGTTGTCCTCGAACACTTGAATGGAGTTTAGAGTATTAAAAACTGATAAGATGAAATTCCACAGAACGTTGACAAATCCACAAATAAGCATAGATACATTGTACGCATATTATTTCCATTCCTTCTATAATTAGTGCATTCATTACTTCCTGCCAATGGTGCTATCGCAGTACGCTATCACTTACAGTCCAATCCCGTGGCTTGCTGCAAGACTGCACAGGTGGTATAGGATATACCGACCGCAAAATCACGACGCAGTTTCCAAATCTGATATTGCTGCAGAAATGCAGACTGGGGTGTAAGTAGTTAGGTGAAACAGAGAAGCATGCAGCACAACAACGAATCCCCCTCTCTGCAAGAACAATAAATTCATCACTCACAAGGAATGGGGACTTTAACCGGTTATTTTTTAGTTGAATAGATGATGTCCACATTATGAAGTAACAGAGAAGGCAACAAACCGTGCATTATGAGTTAATGGTAACCGTCCATTCTCACAACATTACAGTTTGCACTATGGAAAGCCAATGGGGATTTTAAAAAAAAATCATAAATACAAGAATGATAAAATGCCGATACATTGTGTAATATATATATACAATATTATATTGTAAATAAGCATTTGTTTTTGTATTTACTATGACTGCGCTATGAGAATACGGTACAAGAAATGCAGGTTCCATTGCAGACAGGTACACCTCTGCCAGTATTTTATTTCTGTGCAGCAAATATCTGCGGATCGTTCAGGAAATTCTTATGTGTCTGACTGTGCGATCCTATGCAGAGTTTCACAGGTTTGGAAGGGTGTCAGTCTTACTGCAACGGTACCAACATACATATCGGGCTGTTCACTTGCTTATGGTGCCACTTCCCTGTTGTACGCCATGTTGCTCCCGTGTAAGAGTCCCACGCATGTTTCAAGATGCAGCATGTAGATTAGTGGATCGGAGCAACTGCAGATGTAACAGCCGCCAGATCAGAAATGTAATCCATAGGACAAAAATGTGTTCATTCTCCAAAGTTTTAGATGAATGAGATACACTGTTCGATAAACAGAGGACATTATAGGTGGAATCCAAAGCCGACCGTCCACACACAGCAAACTGATCCTGCTCTCAGAAGGGCTGCTTTGCACTAGAGCACTACATTTGTGGAACTCGATCCAAATATTCCCCCGCCCCCTGCTCGTACAGAGTTTTGGACAGAGGTCATTTCGGGGGGGAACGCGGGGGAACGCAGTTCCCCCGGGTGAGGTACGGGGGGCGGGGCACATGACGAAGCCCCGCCCCCTGCTTCCGGCCGCCCCGCTTCCGGCCCTCATTCAGCCAGGAGGAGGCAGGAGAAGAGGGAGGGTAAGTTGCTTCCTCCCTGCCTCTCCCCACCCCTGCCTGCCTGGGGCCAGGGAGGGCCTTCGCGGGGCTTCCTTGCACTCCCACTCGCCTTGCAGGTCCACCGCCGGGCCCCTCATGGGGCTTGGCAGTGGAGCTGCAAGGCCGGCGGTGGCGGCCGGAACCGTTGAGGGCGGGGTGTGTGGCCTTATGACACATTTCCGGTGATGTCAGGGGGTGTGACCTTATGACACACTTCCGGTGATGTCAGGGGGTGTGGCATATGCTAATGAGTTATGCTAATGAGTTCCCCTAGCTCTTTTTCTACGAAATGACCCCTGGTTTTGGACATCCTTTTTCTGTAAGCAGAAGCATGGGAAACTGCTACCTACCTACTAGAATTAAACTTAGGGACGCCAGCCTCCAGGTGGGACCTGAGGACCCCCCCCCCAGAATTACAGCTCATCTCCAGAATACAGAGATGGGTTCCCCTGGAGAAAATGGCTGCTTTGGAAACTGGACTCTATGAGACAGTGTACCCCACTGAAATCCCCGTCCTCCCCGGACTCCATCCCCAAATCTCCAGGAGTTTCCTAACCTGGATCTGCCAACCCCACCCTCATCCCTCGCCAGTAGCCGGGGGGGGGGACCCAGCAGCCCTAATTAAACTTTTACAAAGGAATTAGGAGAACACTGTGATTGGATATTTTCCCTTCACTCAAGGTTCTTTGGATCCCACCTCCAGGTCCATGTTGTTCCTTCTTTGTTAGAGTTAAAACAATAATTTTCCATACTTTAATAACAGGTCAATATACTGTAATAGCACAAGCCCTAATATTTTCATTAACTGTATTTTTCTTTTAGAGTTCAAATATTTCAAAAAAATATTTTATTACCTTTATTTTATAAGTATGTAATAAACTTTGATTTTTTTCCACACATTACTGTATATTTTGCTCTGCATAATCAGTAATTTTTAATCAAAAAACAAAGTTTAGAAATCTACCTATTTCCTATGACGGGACATTATTTTCAAATGTGAAAGATGATCGAAAATACAGCTACTGTTAAAGAACCAGTATAATTTCTGTTAAAATATTGTTCATTTTTTGTATGAGATCAAAAGTTCTATTTGTTGTATTCTGGATTTCAACTTATCATTTTATTTGTGTGAAATTACAACAAAACATTAGTCTGTTGGTTGTCTTTGCCTTCCATTCATGCTTACATGTCTGTGGATAGCTAAAATAGTTTATTTTTCCAGTTCCTTTTATTTCAATGGGACTTTTCTGGTCCCAGTTCGGTGAAATTCTGCTCATTTTAGACACAGTGTCAGCAAATGTAAAGAGTTTGTACATGCTCATGATGCTGCTGCCAATTTCCCATTCTGCACCACGCAAGCTCCTGACCTGGGGGAGAGGGGCAACTTTTTAGGGAGCATGGGGCTTTGAAGTAGGGTAAAGGTTTCCCTTGCTTGAAAGCCAGTCGAATCCGACTCTAGGGTGCGGTGCTCATCTCCGTTTCCAAGCCGAAGAGCCAGCGCTGTCCAAAGACGTTTCTATGGTCATGTGGCCGGCATGACTAGATGCCAAGGTGCACGGAACGCTGTTACCGTCCCACCAAGTATTTACCTACTTGCAATTTCTTGCTTTCAAACTGCTAGGTTGGCAGGAGCTGGGACCAGAGACGGGAGCTCACTCTGTCACGCGGCACTCGGGTCTCGAACTGCTGAACTACCGACCTTCCGGTCTGCGGTT